TGGCTGGGGGCCCCACTGCTCCCTCACTCTCTGGCTGTATTGTCCCCCCTCCCTAGGCAGGAATCTCAGAGTAGGAGTGGGGGGGCGGGAGGTGAAGAGCCTATGGGAAGACCCATCTGCAAAGACACAGCCCACAGAGCAGAGCCATCTCTAGCCCCGGTTCCTGATCCCAGACTGACACCTCTTGGGTTCTGCTCAGGACACTTGGGGTGTCACAGTCGGGGTGTGTGCGGGGGGTCACTGCTCCTGTCCCCTGTGGGCTGAGCCCACAGCTCTGGCCCATTGCCCTGAAGGCCCAAGGCTGTTTCCAAGGCCTGGGCAAGATGGCCCGGACCCAAGAGGAGAACACCCCATGGACACCTGTAGCTGACCAGATGGGGTTTGAATCTGGAGCCCTCGTCACTCATGGCTGGGCCCCCACTGCTAGGGCTGAAGGCTGCATGCCCAGGGTGGCAGCTGTAGGAAAGTTGTCACCTCTCATGTGGATCAGCCACTGGTGGGGAACTTGGACTGAGTGGGGGAGGCACGGAGCCCAGGCAGCGCTTCAGTGGGGGCGTCCAGGCAGAGGGATGGTTAGCTGGGCTCTTAACACCATTAGCCTCTGTTCCCCACCAGCAGCGCTCCCCAGCCTGCCCTGCTACACCACGGGCCCTAAGGACCTGCCGCTAACCCTGCTACAGCTAGTGCCAGAGCCAGGGCAATTCCAGGTCTGGGGTCCGACTGACTACACAGTGCCCCACAGCCAGGGTCCCAGTGGGGGTGGTGACTCCATGGTGAGCCCAGTGCCCGGCTGGCCAAGGCCGTGGATGGGACGGTTGCTCTGGGAGGAGCCCTGCTGCTGTGCTGTGTCCCCAGAGGGAGGGTGCCCGTCGGAGGCCCCGTTACCCACAATCCCACTTTCTCAGCCCCTCTGCTTGCCTGGAATAACCCTCGCGGTGCGGCCGGCTGTTGCAGAGAGTTTATTTCAGGAGCACGTCCCAGACACAAGCAGAGCGTGGGAAGCAGCCACAGAGATGGGACTACAAGACACAGTTGTGCCCAGAGCCTGTCCTGCCTCCTGCACTGGTGGGGGAGTGTCTGGGGCTGCTGATGCGTGAAATCTTGAGACAGTGGAGAGGCCAGGCTAGGAGCACCCGTTGTCCCCAGGCCGGCCAGTGCGCAGGGGCTCAGTATGTGGAGAATCTGACCTCCAGTCTCTCGCCTTGGGAGACGACGTAGTCCCCAGCACCTGGAACGAGAGGAGAGGGAAGGGAAGCTAAATGAGGCAAATGGGGTTAGTGGCCCCTCAGTCCAGTCCCCCAACTCCACGCCAGCCCCTCCCTCTCTGTGTCAGTCTGTCTCCTGGTTCCCATCCCCTTTTGCACCTCCGACCTTCCAGTCTTCCCTCTCCCTCCCAGCTCCTCCCGCCCCACATGGCCCCCTCCCTCGTTCTCCCCAGCAGTCCCACCTTGGTTCAGCGAGGTGCCGTTGCTCAGGAGCTGCCAGTAGGTGCGCTGGTTGTTATCAGCCTGCAGGCCCTGCACGGAGGTGATGTACGGGCCCCAGGAGGTCACCGTGTACGTGAAGCTACAGAGAGACAGAGAGAGTCCTGCTGGAGGCCTGGTTCCCACCGCCTCACGGCCCCACCCCAACCCTCACACCACGGGGGTTGGTAACCCTGGGCACAATGGGCCCAAACCCCCAGGCCACATGAGGGAGCCACTGAGAAGCAGCAGAATAGGCCCCTAGCTGAGCTCTGATCTTCCATCCCAAGGAGACATTGCCCAGCTGAGTGACACAGGGGAACCAACCTTGAGCCCCCTCCTCACTTTAACCTGCCACTGGCAAATTGCTGGCAGTGGGGGCCATGAAGGGTGTGTGGGGGGAGCAGGAGCATTTCCCCATTCTGTGGGATCCCTCCATTTTCCTTGTCTCTGTTGCCCTAGAAGCCCTGCGCTACCACAGGCAACGAATAACACAGGCAAGGGAAGGCATTGCCTTCCCACAGCCGCCCAGCTCTCTGGCCACCCAGGTAGGATGAGGGCTGGGTGGGGTATGGCTGCCCAGCTCTCTGGTTGGCAGGTGCTCCAGCTGGCCACGAAGGGTGGGGCTGCACCACCCACTGGGATGGGTGAGAATAAGGGAACTGGGGATGTTCCGGGGTTGAGGGATTAACCTGGAGGGAAGCAGGCTTGACTCCCTGTGGGTGGGGGGTTGTAGAAGGGGGAGGCTGGAGCTTGCTTTCCCCAGCTGGGCATTCACCCACCCCCATGTGTGTGCTACCATCTAGTCTGCTCTCTGCCACTGTCACCAGCGATAGGGGCTGGTTTGCCAGGCGGAACAGGTACCTGAATTTGCTGGGGTCTGTCGCCTGGGCGACCTCCATCACCTTGAAGAAGACGGAGCCCTGGGGCACAGTGACATTAATGGAGTTGTTGATTATGATGTTCATGTCACTGAATACCGTGTACGTGACACGGATGGTAGGTGGTTGGCTGGTTGGTGTGGTAGGCTGGGGAGTGGACAAGGGGAGGTTATCTGTGTGGGGAGGAAGAGAAGAGAGGGTGAAGAGCAGTCACACATACCCAGGAGGAAGCACGTCTCCCTCTTCAGGGAACCACGTTCAGAGTCCACATGTACAATTGGGCAGGATAAATGAACCTCTCCCCCCCCCCCCACTGATCATAGAATCATAGAATACTAGGACTGGAAGGGACCTCGAGAGGTCATCGAGTCCAGTCCCCTGCCCTCATGGCAGGACCAAATACTGTCTAGACCATCCCTGATAGACATTTATCTAACCTACTCTTCAATATCTCCAGAGATGGGGATTCCACAACCTCCCTGGGCAATTTATTCCAGTGTTTGACCACCCTGACAGTTAGGAACTTTTTCCCAATGTCCAACCTAAACCTCCCTTGCTGCAGTTTAAGCCCATTGCTTCTTGTTCTATCCTCAGAGGCCAAGATGAACAAGTTTTCTCCCTCCTCCTTATGACACCCTTTTAGATACCTGAAAACTGCTATCATGGCCCCCCTCAGTCTTCTCTTTTCTAAACTAAACAAGCCCAATTCTTTCAGTCTTCCCTCATAGGTCATGTTCTCTAGACCTTTAATCATTCTTGTTGCTCTTCTCTGGACCCTCTCCAATGTCTCCAGATGCCCCGGGGGAATGAACAGAACAGGCAATCAATGTTGAGTCAGTGTGAAATCTGTACAGGAAGCAGTATGGGGTCAGTGGAAACTTTACCAACATTTTTCAAGGCAGAAAAATGTCCAAACTGGACATTTTGGGCTTTTCAAACTCAACCAACTTTTTAGTAAATTTGCAAAAAGAAAAAAAAATACCCATGGGAAGTTGGTAATTCTTAGCATTTTGAAGTTATCAAAAGGAAACATTTTTATTGATCCAAACAGAAAAAAAAATGTTTGTTTGTTTGTTGGATTTTCAGTTTGTGAAAATGTTTGAGATTTCTTTGCCTTTCCAACCTCATCTGTTGTTATGGCCAAGCACAACAGGGTTCAAAAAAGAAGTAGACACATTCATGGAGGAAAGGACTTCCATGGCTTAGCCAGGATGAGCAGAGATGGTATTTCTAGCCTCTGTTTGTCAGAAGCTGGGAATGGCTGACAAGGGAGGGATCACTTGATTGCCTGTCCTGTTCATTCCCTCTGGGGCATCTGGCACTGGCCAGTCAGGAGACAGGACACTGGTCTAGATGGGCTTTTGGTCTGACCCAGTCTGACTGTTCTTATTTAGGATGGGAACATTTTTTGAAATGTCCAAAATTCGTATGGGATGGGAAACCATTTCCCACCCAACCCTTGCTACATGAGCTCCTGTCTGCCTTAGATACCTTAAATGGCCCCTATCACTCTTAACACTGCCCCCCTCCCGGCAGGGCAGTGCTATTAGCTACATTGTACAGATGGGAAACTGAGGCACGGTGCCACTCTGCATCTGCGCAGCCATAATGGTGAGTCTCAGAGCCTGGATTCTGATGTTGGGTTTGAGCTCCAAGGCTAAAAATAGCAGCATAGACATTAGGGCGTGGGCTGGAGCCAGGGCTTTGAGACCCAGCCCCTTTGCCGGATTTCAGAACCCATGCTCTGGCCTGAGCCTGAGCTATTTCTAGTCCCCCAGCATGAGCCCTACAACCCCTGTCAGTTGACCCAGGTTCTGACTCTTCCTGCCACAGAGTTCTGGGTTTTTCTGTGTAGACTCACCCTTACTGACTGGCCCAGGCTGAGCACAAAGCGAAATACAGGTCTTTAAAATTCCAGGTAAGTGCCCTAGCCACTAGACCACCCTTCCTCTGCATGTTTGAAAGAGCTCTGTTTATCAATAGCACCTGAGCCCCTTGCCCCCAGATGTGCCTGGAAGCTACCAGTTCTCACAGCCTGTGCTGGCAGATTTGGACCTTTGGACTTAGCCTCCCTAGACCTAGCCAGCGTTTGGTCTGCTCTTCTTACCGGGGTCCTTGGAGCAAGTGAGCCGACGCACATCCAGGTAGGTCTTGTTCTCCAGGGAAGGCAGGATCTGGGAAGCGGCCATGGGGTTATTGAATGTGTCTTTGGGAAGCTCCTCCAGGACCCTGCGCAGAGTCTGGGGGCAGCTCCAGGCCCCGGGTTTGAGGTACCTGGAGGAGACGGACAAGGCCTGTGGAGGATAGAGAGGAAGACGGGGTTACCTGCTGAGGCCTGGCTGCCCACACCCACCATGGCAGCTATAGAGGACAAGGCTGTGAGGAAAGGCAGCTGTGAAGGGGCAACGGGAACACGTTCGGATAGCCCAGCAGACAGGAGTGGGACTTAGACTGGGGCAAGATCTGGCCCATCAAGCCTTTCAATGTGGCCGTGGCCCAACCCACTGGTTCTGCAGGTAGTGAGCAGGTCCAGGGCTCAGAACAGTTGGCTGCTCCATCGGCTTCTCTGTGCTGGTAGGAGGGGGAAACTTTGTGCTCTCTGAACCCCCTCCTTCAACCAAACTCCCTCTCAGACCCTACTCCCTCTCCTGTACCCCTACCCAGAGCTCCCTTCTGCACCCAACCTCCATCCCAGACTTGCACCCCCTCCATAGAAAAGTGCGGCCTTTGACCACTTACCAAAATTTTGGTGTGGCCCCCATCAAAAATTATTGCTCACCCCTGACTTAGACAGAAGTGAGGGATATTTAAGGCCTTCTCTCAGCAAGGGAATTTGGAGCCCAATCCTCTGCTCGCTCTCTCTGGCATTGAGAGCTGCCTCCATTTACATTAATATGGGGTTGTTAGCTCTGGAACCTACTGATGACACCACTTGCTGCTGTTAACTTAGCTGCCTTATCCAGCTACTCTGCTGTTGTGGGGAGGGGCTTTGGGTTGTGGGTGAAGCTAGACTTCAGCCCCACCTCCACTGATTCCCAGTGAGACTCTGGTCCCTCACCTGCATGGCCCAGCCCGTGCTGTAGATGTTCCCGATCACTCCATCATTTTTCTTCTCAGCCAGCATTTTGTTCACTAACCACTGCACGTTCTCTCTGAGCTTCTTAGTCACCTTTGGGGGGAGGGGCCGCCCTGTGGTCTGCAGGCAGATCTGAGCTAGGATCGCCACTGCTGCCGTGTCTGTGGGGATGGGAGAAGCTGCTCAGATGGGACCGGTTCATCCCAGCGCTGACCGCACAGAGACAGTCACATGGACTGTTGCCCTGTAGGTATGGGAGTCTGTGTGCTTTTACCCACCCACGGAGAACTGGCCGCTGAGGTAATACTTCTTTTGGTCCGGGCTGAGGAGGATGCTGGCTCTGGCTGGCGAGAGGCGGCCTTTCAGCTGGCATAGGGCCAGCACATCCAAGCTGAGCTGGTAGAAGTTGGTCAAAGGGTTGCCATGGATCACTGAGGTGGAGAGAACCCAAGGGACACCTGTTAGCTACAGACATACAGACTGGGGCCAGGACAGAAGGGACAGACATACAGACTGGGGCCAGGCCAGAGGGTGTGGGATGGAGAAAAGGGCCTGAGAGAGGGAGACACAGAGAGATGGGGGGGGGAGATGGGAGAGTCCCAGGAGGAGGGGGGGCTATTGAGCCAGGCAGGGTCTCCCCTCCCCTCCCCTCCCACCTTGGCTCCTCACCTATGTTCTGCAACTCATCCTTGAACTTCTGCTCCAGGAGCTGCACCAGGTTGATGGTGGAGTTATTTGCGGAGATCTGCCGGGGGTTGGAGCAGGAGGCCCGTTGAGCCAGGATATGGAGGGCCACCTGGCCCGAGGAGAAGGACTTTGCTGAAAAGCAGCACACCAGGGATGGGTCAGTGAGGCTAGCCAGGCTCCAAACCTCCCCGTGCTTCCTGCCCCAGCCTCTACCTCTGCCTCCCTGCCCCTGCCTCTGCCTCCCTGAACCTCACCTCACGTTGGGTCTGTGGCTTTCTGCCTCCACTCCATCAGTCTGCCTGCCTGTCTCTCTGTTTTCCTTCTCATCTCCCTTCAGTGTCATGCTTTTCAGAAGGGAGCAGCAGTTTCAACACCAGGGCTGCATCTAAACTGGCAGGTTTTTCCGCAAAAGCAAACTTGCCAGCTGTCTACACTGGCCACTTGAATTTCCGCAAGAACACCTACGATCTCATGTACGATTGTCAGTGTTCTTGCGGAAATACTATGCTGCTCCCGTTTGGGCAAAAGCCCTCTTGCGCAAATGCTTTTGCGCAAGAGGGCCAGTGTAGACAATGCAGTACTGTTTTGTGCAAAAAAGCCCCGATGGCAAAAATGGCGATCGGAGCTTTCTTGCGCAAAACCACGTCTAGATTGGCACAGACGCCTTTCCGCAAAAAGCACTTTTGCGGAAAAGCATCCGTGCCAATCTAGACACTCTTTTCCGAAAATGCTTTTAATGGAAAACTTTTCCGCTAAAAGCATTTGCGGAAAATCATGCCAGTCTAAATGCAGCCCAGCATTGTACCTGAGGGAGGTGCTACTGGATGTGAGGAGGTGGGGGTGGTAGTTGGTGGGGTGCTTGGGCATGGGGAAATGGTGTCTCTCTCGGGCACCTGTGGGGTCACCTGTATTTTGCTGAGGGTTGCATGTTTGGGGGATGGTTGTGTCACAACCTGCTCAAAGCAGGACCCGCCCCAACAAAATCATCCCAGCCAGGGCTTTGTCAGGATGGGCCTTAAAACCTCAACGGCTGGAGATTCCACCACTTCCCATTCCAGTGCTCCCCCACCCTCCCAGGGAAATAGCTTTTCCTAGTATCCAACCTAGACCTCCCCCACTACAACTTGAGACCCTTGCTCCTCATTCTGCCATCTGTCACCACTGAGCCCAGCCTCTCTCCATCCTCTTTGGACCCCCCTTCAGGGAGTTGAAGGCTGCCATCAACATCCTCCCCCCCACACACTTTTCTGTTCTGCAGACTAAATAAACCCAGTTCCTCAGTCTCTGCTCATAAGTCATTTACCCCATCTCCTAATCACTTTCCAGGCTCTGGCTATATATGTGTGGTTGTTTGGGGACCCCACACCCAATGAGGGTTGCTGGGTTGGGAGGGCAGGTTCTTTTTGGGGGCAGTGCCAAAGTCCCATGTGCCTGCTGGGGGGTTATGTGAGGGGAAGGGACAGGAACAGGATGGGGGAGGAGAGGCAGAGCCCTCACCAGCTCGCTGCACCGCATCCTGGCTCAGCTTCTTCAGCATGTCCTGCTCAATGCGCTTGTTGTGGTCCTGGGCCAGCCGCAGGGCGATCAGGATGCTGGGGTTCGGGGGGACTTTAGGATCCACTGAATAGATCATCTTCCTTTGCAGATCCCTCACCAGGGGGCGCTCCTTTTCACTCACAGCTGGTGGGGCAAGGATCATACAGGGGTAGTCAGAGATGGGGGCCTATATGTCTGCCTCCCCCGTCAGGCCTCAGAACCGGCTGAAGGGGGATGCAAGGCCCTGGGCATCAGCCAGGAGGAAGTTAACACACCCAAATTCTTGCCCCCCTGATCACACCCCATTTCTAGGCCCATCTTCATCAGCCCCCACATCTCTTCGTGACCAACCCCCAGCCTCCCTGGCATTATGGCTATATCCAGAGGCTCTGCCCAGGTTGTTTCCACCTGGTGAGGGGAGGGCCCGGTCTCTGCAGGCCCTAGATAGATGGCTGTGAGTCTGACACCTGAGCCAGTCTCTCCCGTGCCCAGTGCCAGCACAGCTCCTGTGGCAGGTCACCTGCATCCTGGCCCAGAGGCAGCTGCATCCTTGACCCGCCCCCTCCAGTTCCTCCTCCCCGGGTGCCATGTGTGGCATTTCCCAGGTCAGCAGCAATGGGAAGGGAGAGGCCACCCTGACCTGCATGGCAGGGACAATGAGGCTATTGTGAAGGGAGGCAGTAGGAAGGGAAACTCCCCAGGGAACTGGACAGAGCAGCTTCCAGCAGCTTCCAGGGTGTCTGGTTGATAGCTACACGGAGGGCTGGACCGAGCCGGCCAGACCGAGCCATTCCAGCGCTCCGGGCAGACAATTTAATTGCGCCCTGGGTTGGGGAAGGGCGCATGCACAGTCCCACCCCCTTGCTGGTGTGCCGGGGGAGGGCACGCGGAGCTGGTAGTGGCAGAACGCACGTGCCCAGCCCAGCCCAGCCCGGCTACCACCACTGGTATGTGACCCATGGCCGCCTGGGGTGGGCTGAGCCTGGCCGTGCAGGGCCCCGCGGCCGCAGGGGGAAGGGTGCTGCTGGCTGGCACTGCAGGGGATAACACGGCCCCTGCCCCGGGTGGCTGCTGTGGGGTGGCCGATGGGAGCTGCATGGGAGCTGCTGCAGCCCGCAATCCGGGAGCCGCATCCCTTACATCCCTTACAGCTGCCATCAGTTGCCCCCCATAGGTTGGCATCCCAGGCAGTTGCCCGGCTAGCCCATGCCTTAATCCACCCTGAATCCACCCTGGCTACACAGCATTGGCTACTCGGCACACGGGTGTGGGCAGCAGACACGCCTGGAGCAGCTCATCGCCTGTGAAAAGCAGGCTGTGCCCACGCTGCAGGGTGTAGCTACCTGTGCCGACGGAAGCCTCTGGCAGGGAGGGGCAGTGGGGGAAAGGAGAAAGGCTCCCTTCCCGCTGCTCCCCAGGGTCACCCCGCTGCTCCCCAGAGTCACACCACCCAGGGGAGGGGCCACCCAGGGGAGGGGGAGGGGCAGAGGCTATATGACTCACTCACCACAGCCCTGGCACAGCCCCCCAGGGGCCAGGAACAGGAGCAGGAGCCCGGCTAGTGGGATCATCACAGACCTCATCCTCCCTCCGTCTCTGGTCTCTCCCTGGTCTCTCCCTGGCTGTGCTGGGACCTGGTATTTATCAGCTGGAAGGAGGCGGGGACGCCCTGGCTTGCCTCACTCAGCTGCTTTCCTGGAGCAGAGGGGAGACATTGAGTAATGCCCAGCAGCGTGGGCAGGTCTGTGCCCTGGGGGGAGGGCTCAGAGACAGCTGGGCCTAACAGACCACAACTCCCTCCTTCTGGCCTCTGGGTGCTGCCAGGTGCTGCCAGCTGGCACCTGAGACCTTGATGGAACATTCCCATTCACATCCCTTCCCCCAGAGTCACTTCGTGTCCACGGCCCTGGGTCACATCTCACTGTAGGGCTGTGAGATCAGACTTGGGTGGCACTTCTTCCTGGACACACAGACACCATGGGCCAACAGGACAACACAGAGCAAATGTGGGGTTTTATCCCTTCCTAGTTCATTATGTGTAGACACTCCTGGCCTTTGGCTGGGGGGCATGGTAGGGAGCCCTGGGCTAGGAGAGCAGATGGCAGCAGTGTGGGATTGAGGGGCCTTGGCAGAGCTGTGGGGTGAGATGAGGGCTGGGGAGACTGGGTTGGGATGGAGGCTCATAGAGAAGTGCATGGCAGGGGTCCCAGGGCAGGGACAGCAGGGGTGTAGGGTCAGGTTTGACAGGCATGGGCAGAGTTGGATGGGGCTCATGATGGTGTAACCACCAGGTAGATTTGAACCAGGGATCTATGGAGCTGACTATAGGAGCCTCTACCCTTTGAGTTAAAAGCCCACTGGCTCTCAGCCCATTCTATAGAGGTCTCTTGATCTTAACTGTTGCTGTGGTCTAGCTGCCACTGGATGGGACAGTGAACCACACTTGGGCTATGTCTACACTAGCAGCTTCTTGCGCGAATAATATGCAAATGAGGCTAAGCGTGGAATACCGCCAAGCCTCATTTGCATACCTAATGAGCCACCATTTTTTTCAGAAGAGGCTCTTGCGTAAGGAGTGTCTACACTGCCCCCTCTTGTGCAAGAAAACCCTCTTGTGCAACGCCGTTACACCTATTACTTGTCAGGAAGAACAGCGTTGCACAAGAGGGTTTTTCTTGCCTAAGAAGGGGCAGTGCCTCAGTTTCCCTTTCATACAACAGGAGTGATCATCCCTTCCTCACTCACCACAGGGAGAGCTAGCTCCTGTGTCTGTGCACAGCACTAGTTGAGCCTGGGGGAGTGCGGTATCAAGGCTTTGCCCCTGAGTGTTTTCAAATGCTAGGGGGATACGGGGAAATAATGGGCTGACATTTTAGAAAGTCTCTTACACAAGAAAGGGGGCAGCTTTTAACTCACCAGGGACAGGGCAAGTTACCACCCCTGGGAACTGAACTGACAGCAGCAAGGGTACAGGATGATGTCTGCTCACTACAGCCCTCCGGGCCTGAGCTGCCCACTTCCCCCTGCTCCTATCAAAGGGGCAGAGGGCTGGAGTGGGGCTGTGGCTAATGGTGGAATCACAGACACCTGCGTGCTGCTTCCCCCATATAAAACCAGCCAGTGCGGGCAGCTGCTCCTCATGAGGCTGTTGCCTGAGGGGGAGCAGAGGATGGGTGTTCCTGTAGGCTGCTGGGCTTTGTTCCTCTTAGTTGCTGGTGTGTGGGCTCAAAATGCTTCAGGTAAAGTGTGAGTGGGGGTGGTGGCGGCAAACTGAGCTGCTTGCTTGGGTCGGGGGGGACTAAACTGAGCTGCTTGCTGTAGCCGATCCTCCAGCTGTGGGGTTTTTGACTCTGTGCTGCTCAGTGGGCAGAGCCGGACCCAGGTCCTGTTGCTCATGTGTTTTCTTGGCAAGGAGAGCCAGGGCTCACCTGTTAGGAATGTCCTGGGCTGCTGCTCAGTGACTCACCTGCTAGCAGACTGCCTATGCAGCTTCACTTCCTCCTGGCCCCTGTGGGGAAACTCCAGTCTCTCCCCAGCTGTGGGGTGTGGAAGTTGCTCCACTTGCCAGTTTGTGGCTGTAAACTCCCTCCCTGGGCAGCCTCTTGAGGGCTTAAATAGCCCCTTAGTTCATGTAGTGTTGGCTCCAGACTACTTGGAGGCACAAGATGGGTGAATCCCTCCACCTGGGTCTTGATGGCTCAGTAAAAGATCTTGCCCCTCTCTCTAACATTGCTGTAAAATGGAGGCAGCTGTTGAAAGGCAGGCTCTCCTACAGTGCTCAGACGGCTGGGGTCTGCTGTAACTGATCCACCCACCTCCTACCCCTTGACTTGGTCCCGGCAGGATAGGTCTGAGTGGTTCTTCCTTTCTTAGACCTGCTCCCTCCAAGGACATCACACTGGGTTTTAGTGGCAGCAATGAGGCCATGGCAAAGGTTCCTGTTGTGGTGACTACTTGGTACCTCCGGTTGTATGGAATCTGTAACAAACTGCCAGTTGGCTGTCCCCCTCTGCCCACTTCTGGGGTGGGTACTTGGTACCTCCGGTTGTATGGAATCTGTAACAAACTGCCAGTTGGCTGTCCCCCTCTGCCCACTTGTAGGGTGGCGTGACCTAGTGGCTAGAGCAGCTGGAGGCTCTGAGTCAGGGGCCTGGAGTTCTATTCCTGCCCTATAGGTGTGACCTGGCAACATGGTATGATGCTGTTAGTGGCACTGCTGCTCCTGGATGTCTCTTTAGGCCCTTCAAGAGTTAATGTTAGCATTTTCTGCTGCCTCTACCCTGGCTTTACCAGCACCTGTCACAGGTGGAGTAACCTGCTGGCTTACATAGAGCTTCCTTGTTCCTCTCCCGTGCTAGGGGATTGAAGGCAGCTGACTGGTATTTCAGCTCTGGGGTTGGTAGTTCCTAGCCCAGCTGGGCTCCTGATTCCATTCACCTAAAGGGTGAGATTTCCTGGAGGCCTGTCCCTGCTGGAGTAGGAAGACATGGAAAACTGAGGCAGTTGGAGGCCTAATCTGGGCAGACTGGGGGGCCAGATCTTAGTCTTTTCTTAAGTCAAGGTACACTGGCAAAAGCCCTAGTGTAGCTCCAGCTGACAATTCTCAGCGCGTCTATTGCATGAGCGCACATTGTTCTGGGAGGTTGTAAGTCTACTTGCAGGCCAAACATCTGTTGGCGTAAGCCAAGCCTGCACAAATGGGCTTTGCTGCAGCGGTGCATCACAAATAGTGTGGCAGAGCTCTGAGTCCCCATGGACCCTGCATGTCCTCAGGCTGCCATGGCAGCTCAGAGCCATCTCTCCACAGGGGCCCCTAAGCTGCCGTAGGTTTCACAGGACAGCCTGGCTCCTTCTAATGAGATGCAAGGAATATGCCAGCTTCTGTGATGGCTCCTCCAAACTAGGTCACTGAGCCACTTCTGCTGCTGACACAGGGCTGCTTCATCTTGCCATGTTGTCCCCACCTACTCCCCAGGAGTAGTACTAGTCCACACCCCTGGATTGCAGTAACCAGGGGCTGGGCTGGTGGGTCATGGGCTGTTCTCCCTCTTCCTCTGCTGCGCCCCCCCTCCCCCCACTCCAATCTCTGCTGCTAGCATAGATCTGGTAGCTGGAGCTAGGGAGGTGCCAGGGCGAGTGGACAGTCTCTTGGGCACAAGCCAAGTGTCTGTTTGGCATGGAGTGGAAGGAGCACACTGGATGTGGCTATTGGGAGCAGCTGGAATTCTGGCCCTGAGCAGTGCAGTGATGTGACTTATCCCGTGTTACTGAGCATGTCTGGGTATCCCTGGCCTGCTCCCAGGCACAGTCTCTGGGGGTGTTGTGTCTGGAGGATGCTGGGGCTGTGGAGTAACCCGGTGTGCCCCATCTGCAGTGTCAGTGGTGTGTGGCAGCTCACGGCTTCAGATCATGGTGCCGGCGGATCTCTTTGGGAACGGCGTGCCCATCACTGACAGGGAGCTGATGCTGGGGGCTGGCTGTGCTGTGACTGATGTTGGGGAAGAGACCTTCCAGCTGGACTACCTGCTATTGGCATGCGGGGCCACCATGGAGGTGAGAGCAGAGACCAGTGTGGGCTGGGTATGCAGGTGGGGGAGGTCAGTCTCTCCCCTTACTGAGCACAGCCTGGCTTCAATTATCAGCCCTCCTGAGCTTCCCTCTCCCCTCAGGGGTACCAGGCCTCTGCATTCACTCACTGCACTGGGCCCAGAGCAGACTCACTGCTGTGAAGGTCTCCCTGAGTCGGGATACAGCCTGTCCCATACAGGAGAGGACTAATAGGGGATGTCTTGGAGCAAGCCCTTGGGTGCCTGGGGGGAAGGTGTTGCGGTATCTGGGGAACCCACAGCACCCCACGTCCTGGCTGCAGCCAAACCAGGGAAGGGTGCACCGCCAGGGCTGTGGGTGCTTAGTGTTGTAGTAACACCGCGGATCTGTGAATGCTGGGTGGGGAAATCTCTTGGGTAACTGCTGCCTTCCTCAGATGGCCCCAGGTTCCTGCATTCACAGGAAGAAGCAGTGAGTGGGCTGGTGTAAGGCGGGAAGATACTGGCCTTGGTGAGCTCTAGGTACTACTAGTCCCAGCTGTGCCCCTGTGGGAAGGGACCCTGTGTCTGTTTTCCCCCACCTAGGGAAGTGACTAAGGGGAAGGATGCAAGGGTTTAATGCACAGATCCCATGTGAGGAGATGCTCAGGTAGCAGGTACTACTGGAACCTCTGCTAGGGTAGCGTATGTCGTACAGAGGCGGAGTCCTCTTGCTCCTGGTAACAGCACCAGGAGCAGGAGCTAGACTCAAGCTCTGACGTTGCTATGGCAGCAGTGAAGTGACACTCTAGTGATGTCTCCCTGTCCTGTGCCTGGCAGGGCTAGAGGGTTGTGGGGGCCGGAGCTTGTGCTCTGAGGTGTCTCCGATGGCGTAGGCCCCCTGCTGGCTGGTCACTGCTGCTACCCTGCTGGGCTCTGCCTGGACAGACTCCCATGCTGCTGGGTGGATGGAGCAGATGCAGGCTGAGTAGCTGCAGGTGAGGGGAGGAAGATCCTGACCCTTGGCTCTGTTTGCTCTGCCCAGCTCCTCCCTGACACCATCCACTACAGAAACGTCCTCTACTACAGGCCCTTTGCTCTGGAGGGCGTGAGCCGCGCCAGCGCCTTCTCCCTCCCCATCGACTGCTACTACCCCAGGTGAGCGAGCATCCTCCAGGCAGTGCTGGGGGCTGAACTGCTTCAGGGAAGCAGAGTATCTATCCCCAGGCTAGCTTGCCCTCTTGCTGAGAGTGGCCTTGCTCTATAGGGCTGCTCCACTGAGCCTGCTGCGGCTGGCCTTCCACAACAAAGACTCAGTGCTCCTGGGCCAGTGTCACCATGGTTGGGCATGCAGTCAGTGAGATGCCCAGGTCTGGAAGACTCATGGCTCAGCTTCAGGGATGCAGCTGGTGGGGCCTGATGGTCCATATGACCTGCCTGTTGCCTACACTAGTGCAAAGCTGGCCTGTGGGTACTAGGTCAATACATCTGGGCTGTGTCTAGACTGGCCAGTTTTTCCTGAAAATCAGCTGCTTTTCTGGGGAAAACTTGCCAGCTGTCTACACTGGTCACTTGAATTTCCGCAAAAGCACTGACTTCCTACTGTAAGAAAAGCTTTGCGCAAAAAGGCCAGTGTAGACAGCTCAGACTTGTTTTCTGCAAAAAAGCCCCAATTGCAAAAATGGCAATCATGGCTTTTTTGTGGAAAAATGCATCTAGATTGGCATGGACGCTTCTCAGCAAAAAGTGCTTTTGTGGAAGAGTGACAATCTAGATGCTCTGTTCCAAAAATGCTTTTAACAGAACTTTTCTGTTAAAAGCATTTCCAGAAAATCCTGCCAATCTAGACACAGCCCTGGTGAGGCAGGTGTGGAGAGCAAAGCACAAGGGCTCACGTGTCTCAGCTGGCCGCTTCACTGCAGCTCAGCTCTGGCAACCCCAGTCTTGGCCTGACGTCTCTAGAGCCACCTCCCCCACTTCTCTATGAAACAGGAGTCCTGCTGGGATTTACCTCCGATTGTAGGGGAGCGGGGTGGGGAAGAGCAAGGGGTTACACAACAGCTGCCAGCATGGGTCCAACAGGGAGTGCCATCAACCAATGGGAGGTCCCGGCTGTGGGGAAACAGGAGTGACTCTCTCTCTTTCAGGTCTGGGAATGTCTCCTCCTCGGGCCTTCAGCCTACCTGGGCCCCCTTCAGCGCCACACTAATGCACAGACAGCGCCTGGACTTTGCCCTGGATGTCTATGACAGTGAGTGCTGGTGTTGTCAGGGGGCCTCCTTAGCTCCTCCTGAGCCTGCGGCTAAATGCCAGCTCCCAGATGTGGAGCTGCCCACTAGCTAGGCTTGTCTCCAGGAGGCAGGCTAGGGGTGGGCTTCCCTACCCATGCATGCACAGCCCATGTTGCCCAAAATGGGGGAACAGCGCACCCCAAGTTTGGTCAATGCACATCAGTCCTGTCTCCAGCTCTGCCAATGGCACCCCCTTCTCTTGTCCCACCCTGCAGCCCCTCCTATCCTAGCCTTGGATTCCCCCTTGTCCCCTTACTTGTTTTCTTGCTGAGCTCCCCTGCTTTTCACCCTCTTCTGATGCTCCTTGCTAGTCTGGGGGTGGTTAGGCTGGAACAAGGGGGCTCCAGCTGAGACATCCCCTGCATCTTTGTCCTCAGGTACCTGGTCCTCCCCCCTGTCTGACCCCACGTCCTACCTTGGTGACCTGATAAACATCCAGGCCTCGGTGAGGACAGGCAGCCATGCACCGCTGAAGATCTACATAGACGAGTGTGTGGCCCAGCCAAGTGTGGAGTCCTCTGTGAAATATGAAGTCATCACAGACCACGGGTCAGTGAGGCCGAGGACTCGGAATGGGCTCTGGGGTACCAGTTTATCTAGTAGAAGTAGGCAACCAAGCCTCCATGGACCAACTAGGAGGGGCGGGATAAGGCTGGGCCTTCTGGGTTAGCAGTGGTGATCTGAATTTGGGGGCTGCTGGCTACTCCAACACTGCTCTGAATCCCCCTGATTGCTTGTCTCCACCCCCTAGGATCTAGGTCATGCCCAGCCTAAGCTGTTTCTCAGGGCCCATATGGACAGTCTAGGAGCTATCCTGGCTCCCATTCAGGAGACTGGCTGGGGTAAGGCTTTTACCATCATTCCTCTTCCTCCCTACAGGTGCCTTGTGGACGGGCAGCACAGCCGCTCTCGCTTCCTCACCCCCCGGGGAGACCACTTCCTCCGGTTTCAGCTGGACACGTTTGTCTTCACTGGTGCTTCTAACAACCAGGTCAGTGCAGTGCAGAGGAGGCAGAGGCCTGAGTGGCTTGGAAGTGCATTGACTTCTTTGTATGGGTGGGTGTTAGCCATGTGACATGGTTGCCATCTCTGAGGGACACTCCCACAGTCTCCTGTCTGGTCTCCCTAGGGACACAAGAGCCAGATGTGGGGAGAGGGCTCCCTCAGCCTGATCCCAGGGTAGGCTAAGTTCTGGGCTCTCCCCACCAACCCTCCCCCATGCAGACCCACACCCTGCTGTGACACAGCTCATGCTTTCAGATCTATCTGCTGTGCCACCTGAAGGCAGTAGCTGCTGGCCCTGCCACCCAGCACAACAAGGCCTGCTCCTATGACCCAGCCACTGCAGCCTGGCTCTCCCACGAAGGAGGAGACTGCTCCTGCTGTGCTTCCCCTGCTCACTGTGGGACCAGGAGGCGGCGCCGGCATCTTCCTCAGGACCGGGAAGGTAACATTGCTCCTGGCCCCCAGGCCTGGGTTCTGTAGTGCCTTGGTGGCCTGCAGGAGGCTGGCTGGGATAACCGCTCCCTTGGGTACTCTACTGTCCCTGCTGGGGCTGGGCCTAGCCCTGGTGCCGGGGCTGGCTAGCTACTGCATGTCCCTGATCCTGTGCTGATAGCTAGTGGGAGCTGGCGTTGCAGGAGGAGGTGGGTGAGATCCTGTGTCTACTTAGTGTGGCTGGTCTTTCCCTGCAGGGCTCCTTGGAGAAGTGGACATTCAGCTTGGCCCCATCAAGCTGGCCTCCAATTCCTCTGCTGTGCTGGCCTCTAGCTCCCACACAGCGGCTTCCACAGAGCCTGCCTCAGCCATGCCTGTGGCTGTTGAGGTGTCTTCCACCATGACTACCTCTGGCATCCCTAAAGCCATCCGCCCAGTCCTGCTGTCCCCAAATCAGGCAGCAAATCCCATCGTGAGAGAGGAAACAAAGGACTCCTCAGGTGAGTGTGCTCAGACCTGTCATGGGGAAGGGGAGCTGACTAGACAAACTCCCATGACTCAGTGTAGTCATGGGGAATGCTGTGACCAGTCTGTCTACCTATTGGCTGGGTGATGAGAACTGGCAGAACTAATGGGGTTGCTGACGGGGACTGGTCTAGGCCCCATCTCCTAGCAAATCTGCAGGAAGTGCTTGGCTTGGGCTCTAAGTAGCCCTCCCCACCATGTTCCATGAGCAGAGTACTGCCCAGAAGGGGGGTCGCAAAAGGAGCCTTCCTGGGCTGCTCCCCCACAAGGTCTGATGGAGAACAGCTGGGAGACCTGTTGGAATCCAGCTCCTTTGACAAACTTGTGGCCTCTCCGAACACCGCTCTGTTCCCTTCCCGCAGGGCTGCAGCTCCCCTTCTCTGTCACAACCCTGGCCATCGCCGTGATGTCCTCCATCTTCGTCTTCCTGGGGATCCTGGGTTGCTACTGCTCCACAAAGCGCTACCACAGAGGCTACCGGATGGGTGCTGCTGATGCTGCCTTGGGGGAGGCTGGTGCTGTTGCCATGGCACCCACAGCTGCTGGAAACTCCAGTGTAGCATCCAAGAAACCTGGTGCAGTGGTGGCTTCAGCTTGCGGGGAGTCTGGCGCTGTATGAACCTCCAGCCTCTTGAAAAATTAAACCCGTCAGTCAATGGAAATGTGTCTTGTTCCTCAGTGTGGGGGTGAGGTGGGAAGGTATGTGGGGACCCCAGCATCAGGCCAGCTAAAGAAACCTCTTCTGGCCCTGAAGATGAGGCTGGCCATGGTTAAAGTGGGGACACAAGTTGATCACTGAGTCAGGCTTCCAGAAATAAAGGTATCCTCTGAAGGGAGTTCTAATTTCCCCTCTGGACTGGGGGGAAGCTGTTGCTGCGTCAGTGGGGTTTTTTCTCTCCTCCCCCCCCTCCCCCCCCGCCTTGCCCCCAGGATATCTTCCTGTGGAAAACCTGCTACTAGCCACTGTCAGGGCAGCATGGTAGTGATTTCATGTCTTCTGATCTAACAACCACACTGATGGTGGGTGGGAGGGGCAGTGTTTTTTGCTGAGGAAACAGCCCAGAAGAGGAAGCTTCCTCACCTCTGCATGCCCCCAGTTCCCACTCTCCACTCACTGATCACCTTACACTGATGGTGGCTGGAACTGAAGCTGGGCTGGCCTTAAACCATCTTCCCAACTAGAATCTAGGTCCCCCAAAGGCAGTTAATGGGGGCTGGCCTTGCAATGAGGTAGTCAAACTTAAACAATGAACAGTCTAGTAGCACCTTAAAGACTAACAAGACATGTAGATGGTGGTATGAGCTATTGTGGGCATAACCCACTTCAGATGACTTAAGTATTAAAAATCCAGATCCAAGAATAAGGGAAGGAGAGGGGGTGGGGGG